GAAGTAAAGAGATTTTTTTTAGCGCCTGGCTTCCCAGTTTGAGCAGTCTTTTTCTTCTTTCTCTGCATTTTCTTCTGTCTCCTACCTGTTAAAAAACTTTGGTTCTTTGTTAGATTTAGGTGCAAATAACTGACAGTAGCTTAAACTTTTACCCCTTTAAAAGTACCTGCATTTGATCATTGGTGCTGTAACTGTGGCATCCTGGCGTCAGCAAGCAGGTGAGGGGCAGGTGAAGCAGGACTCTGTGGGCACCAGGGCCTTCCAAGTCCCACATAGTGAGGGGGAGGCTCTTTCATCTGCTCGTCTGGGTGCCATTTCTCTTCTCATCAGGACTCTCACTCCGTTGAGGCCAACAGGGTAATACTTCTGTGCCTCTTCTGTTCAAAGGAGAGTCAAAAGTCAGCAGGGCTTCATATAGTAACTGCTTCAGTATGAGCCCCTCGGAGGCCTCCAGTGGAGGGAATTGGTGAGAGCAGGTGGGGCTCTGGCCCCTCCCCAACCCTGTTCTTCAAGCAAAGCAATTATTTTTTCCTTTTCTTCAGTGTAAAATGTTTGAAAATGGGGTTCTGTGGCCAAAAGAAAGATAGAAAACAACAGTGAAGGAGAAAAAGCTCTCTGGAATGGGAAAGATCTGGGCTCTAATTCCTGCTTCCTGGAGCTCAGGTGAGTTCAATATGCAGTGACTGATATGAATGAGTCTCAGTGCCTCGTCTGGCCAAAGGAGATTGTGCCCTACAGCCACATCCCAGCTCAGGACACACATTTGTAGAGAGGGGATCTCTTCACTCCATTCTTGGGGCAGGAAGGATAATGTACATGAGAGGGACATTTTCAGTAAACATAGAAAACCAGACTGTGGTAAATGACATGTGATATTTTCACTAACTCTCCAAGCCTCAGTTTCCTCATCTGTAAGATGGGAGTGATGGCAGCAACCTCATAGGGTTGTTGTGAGGATTGAGTAACGAGTAACATGCAAAGCTCTCTGCCCAGTGTTTGGCCCACAATCAGTGTAAGTGCCAGCTATTACCATTAAGTATATGTTGTTCTATTTCACTCTCCAGTCTCTTCATGTGGGACCGTGTGTCTCCCAGCTGGACAGGAAGTGTTTGGATGGCATTATACTTCTTATCCTATATTTTTAAACTTCCATTTCCCTACAATACCTAGCGCAGTGTCTGGCATATCATGGGTTCTCAACAAAAACCTGTCAGTTGAGTCATTAATATTGCAGCTGAGATCATTGACTCTTTTTTCTTCTGCAGTCCATGAAATTGTGTCACCTCGGCTGCCCTCATTTCTGTTTGTTCTTTATATATAGAATGCTACCTTTACTTCTACCTTTACTTTTGATTTTTTTTTAGAAAAAGAAGTTTCTCCTGTTTGATCTTTTGGTCTACCTACATGAAAATGTAAAGGAAAAAAAGGGATAAAAATCAACTTCTTCTGGGTTTTTTTAAATGTACTTTTAAGTCAATTCAATAAGACCTTATATTTTCTGCTCTTAAACTACAGGATATTGGAAGAATCTTTTTGCTTTATATGCTTTGCTTTATACTCTCCTCTTGTAAAAAGAGGAGAAAAACATGTTCTTGAGTGCTGCGGAGACTTTCTTGTTTTTATAAGATTAGAGAGGTAAACATCAATAAAGATGAACTGTGTAAAGTGTATTCAGTAGTAGGGACATGAAGAGGATTACATTCTCTTCCATCATTGGGTGGAATTTAAGTTAAAAATAGATCTGATATAAGGTTAACTTTGTAATTTATGAGGTGGCAAAGTAAATGGTTTAAGTTTTTAAAATATGAATCATAAACATTGTAGATAATATTGAATAACAAAGGAGTTTTCTTATTTAATGTATGCTTTAAAAACAAATAGGAATAAAATGGTGTAGTTACTCCAGAATACAGTTGGGTAGTTTCTTTAATACTAAACATGCACTTACCACATGACCCAGCAATTGTACTTTGGGGCATTTATCCCAGAGAAATGAAAACTTATGTTTACACAAAAATTTGTACATGAATATTCACTGCAGATTTATCCATAATAGCCCCAAACTGGTAACAACCCAAGTGTCCTGCAGTGGCTAAATGCTTAAACAAACTGTCATCCATCCATACTCAGCAATAAAAAACCCAACTATTGTTACACACAACAGGAATTATGCTGAGTAAAAAAGCCAATCTCAAAATATATGATACTACATACTGTATGACTCCATTTGTGTAACATTCTTGAAATAACAAAATTAGAATGATGGAGAACACATTACTGGTTGCCGGGGGTTAAGGAGGGAGGGCATAGCTATAAAAGAGTAGCACGAGGCAGCCTTGTGTTGATGAAACAGTTCTGTGTCTTGACTGTGGTGGTGGTTACGTTCATCTACACGTATGATAAAATTGCACAGAGCTGTGCACACACACATACACACACACACACATAAGGGCATGTGCAGCTGGTGAAACTGAATAAGCTCTGTGTATTCTACCAATGTCAGCCTCCTGGCTTTGGTATCGAACTATAGCTGTGCAGATGATACAGCTGGAGTAAACTGGGCAAAGGGCATTTAAGACCTCCCCACGCATCTAACTCCAGATATGTCTATTAATCTCTTAAAAATCCAGGCGCGTTCCCCAGCACGGCTGTTAAAGAGCACACATACTTATCCATATTTTTAGAGAAATAAAATGAAGCAGAAAACGTCTCACTGGGTGTATAGTTTATGCTACCGAATTTCTGTTATCCCAGAAATTCTTTATTCTCCACAGCTCTCTATATTTCTTTCCCTTTTATTTGATCTTCACAATAATCACATGAAATATGTAGGGGAAAAAAACAGAAGTACAAAACTCTTAGGCTGCTAATATTACAGTTCTTCTGTGAACTGCCAAGATGATCACACATATCCAGGCACAGGTGTCCTCAGTAACCCAGAGACCCCTGGTATCCCTCAAATATTACATCAGAAGGACAAGGACACAGAAATGTGGAGTGACTTGACCGCTCCTCTGAAGCACTGTGCTGATGCGAGCATTGTACTGTTTGGTTCATTCCGTCCCCCAGCCTTTTGTTCTTTCACAGTCCTATGAGGTAGGCATCTTATAAAGAATCCAGGTAACTCGTAAACTTTGATGAAGTCTGTAGACGACTGAGCGCAGGGCTAGTCCTGGCCGTGGCACACTTGAGGTGCCTCTGTGCTCAGTGCCTGGAGTCACTCTGTGTGGGTGTGAACTTCAGCTCTGCAAGGGATGAGCTGTGCCATCCAAGCCAGTTACATGGCCCCTCTGTGCCACGGTTCATTTGTAAATTAAAGGCTATAGAGTGTTTTGAGGATCAAATAAGTTAGTACATGTAAGTCACTTAGACCACGGGTCATCAGTAAGTCATTTAGATCAGGAGCCGTCAAGCTGTGTCCTGTGGGCCACATCTGGCCCCACCCCGTTCAGGAAAATTAAGTTTCGCTGGAACACAGCCAGACTCGTTCCTTCCGTATTACCTGTAGCTGCCGTCTTACTACAGCAGCAAAGTTGAGCTCTGCTAGCAACAAGACCAGATGGCCCACAAACTGAAAACACTTTCTGTCTGGTCCTTTACAAAAGTTTGCCAACGCCTGAGTTGGATGAATGCTTGGCGAAAACTAAGTGCTCAGGAAGTGGTGACTATTGTCACTGTTATTGTTAAAGTTGACCCTGAAGTCTTGGAGAACAGGCTTGCGTCATCCATTGAGGGCTGGCACAGTTCATACTTCAAGTAATTTATCCTTCAGTCATAATTCTGAAGTCTCTCACTTAGAAAACCTATACAGCTAGCCATGTTTTAGGCCTGTGTCCTGAGGGCAGTAACCTGGTAGAACTGGTTTATACTTTCAGGGAAAACTACAGTCACTCTAATTAATCTAGTATAGCTGACCTGTCAAAAATTCTTGGTTTTTGGCAGAGTTGCAGCATAGCTTTTCCAGGTCAGACAAACAAATGTGTTTGCTAGGAAAGCATGAGGCAATGGACTGATTTTCTCCTATACTAGGTCATGATGGTCATGTTCTCTGGCGCTAGGAGAGGTCATCACCTAGAAGGCCCTGCTGTTTCTGGAGGTCAAGTCTAAAGATAATAAGGAGAAACAGCAGAAGCTAATCTGGATTTGCAAAAAATAGAAAATAAAAGTAACACTGACCCCAGTAGAACTCCTGGATGAATTGGGATCAGCCCAAATTATAAAGCTAAAATAGATCCACTTGTCACATAGCATGTAGCTCCGTCTTTGACAACACAGAGCAGGTTACATCCCTCCCTTGACTAAAATCTTCCACCAACTTCTCCTTTTAGCATAAAGTCAGAATTCTACGATCTTACACTGCTACTTCTCTGACCTCGATCTGCCACCAGTCTCCCCCTTGCTCACTTGGACACATCACATAAGCTTTCTTTCCTTCCCAGCACGTCCAGAGGCTCCTGCCTGAGCTGTTTGTACTTGCTTTCCTCTCTCTTCTCTCTGCCTGGAACCCTGTGTCCCACATCTCCACAGGGCTGGTTCCTGCTTATGTTGCGGGTCTCAGCTCAAATGGCACTTCCCCAACCAATTTTCTCTCAAGATCACCCACTCACATTCTCCATTACATCTTCCTGTTCCATTCTGTTTGTAGCCCTCCTCACTAACTGAAATGATCTTATGTATTTGCTTACTTGATAACTGTCCTTCACCATTAGTATCCAGGCTCTGTGATAGCCTGGAATTTCCCTTGTACATAATCGGTGCTTAATGAATAGTTGTTCAATGAAGAATGAATGAGCCAGCAAGGTTTTTACCTCACAACTTACCAAAAAAGTCTGAGGTAAAAAAATAACTCTCTAGGGAAAATTAATTTAGGTCAAAGAGTAGGGTGTAGTTGGAGTGCAGTAAAGTAGCAGAGACTGTGTCAAGCAGAGCTCTTTGGGATGTGCTTTCGAAATGTGATCTACTGATACATGCATCCTGTCTCCTCCCATTTAGGCAGGACTTTTCTTCTTACAAAGTCTATGGAAGTGTGCTTTACCTCGCAATTCCATTCCTCCTTGTTAATCGTCATCAAGCTGCCTTTAAAGCCAGCAGACAAATGGAATGTCCCTGAGTGTTGAGTTCATCTAAATGCCTGCAGGTAATTTTTCCTTTCAGGTAATTTTTCCTCTGGCATCGTGGTCAAAAGGTCATGTCCCTCTTTCAGTAGAGAACAAAAATCACTTATAAACACTTTTTGAACTTTTTGTTAATCGTTCCATTTCCAGTTTTTAAAAAAATATGAAAAGTTATTAACACATAAAAGCCCATTCAGGAAAACAATTTTGTATCTGAGAGTAGTTCTCTAATATTTTCACAAAAAGTAAAACCGGATTGTCATATGGAAGAAATGATGTCATTAACCCTTGGAAAGACCTCTAACAGAAGTTCTTTTGTACTACTACCAAAATTAGACAAACATTCCACCCAGAGTGAGAGATCTAAACAGCCCCTTAAATTATCTATACTGGCAAAATAAGGCTGCTGTGAGAGCAGGCATCCGTTCTTCAGGAATCTCTCTTAGGACCAAACATGTCTAGTTCGTTTGTCTAATAGCACATGGGTGTTATCATTGAAAATATATTTAAATTTTCATACAAGGTAAAATGTACACAGTTCATACATGTGAAAGGTTCTAGATTAACTTTAGAAATGAAAAAGAGAGGAGAGTTAAAAATAATTAAAACTACTTATAAAACTCAGTGCCTTTAGATGAAAAAAGCTTAGCCTAGTACAGATCTTATTTTCTAGCCCAGATATTATTTTTTTAGTTGTGTGGTAAAAAGCTTACTGGTTCATTCACCATTCATGCATTCATTCATTCAACAGTGACCTATTAAGTTTCTGTTATGTACCAGGTGAAATTCTAGATTCTCACAGGACTTATATACTAGCGAAGGCAGACAAACAATTAACAAGAAAGAAATTTAATTTCAGATTTAAAACTGGAAGTTTTAAATGTCAAGCAAACTGTCTGAAAGAGTTATAGTCTTGACCAAGCTTTAATATTCTTCATGTAAATTATTGGACATCGATCTGGGCAGACTTAGGGAACATTAATTCTAGCAAGAATTCAGAATTTCACATAGACACAGATTTGAGTGAGAATTTCAAAGTGGGACAGATGAGAAGTGTGTCTTGCAGTAGGATTTTTTTTTATTGAATTGAAAGAGGATTGGGCCCAGATTTTACTGAAACAAATTAAATATTGGGCATTTGCTCTAATTATGTAACTGAATGCATTTTGTAAATGGAGGTTATAAAATTAAAAAAAGCTTTTCATCTATTTGGTGGATTAGAAAGACCAGTCTTTCATGGAGCGATACGTTTTGCTGTTCTCCATGGAGCGCTCCTCTGAGATGGGTCTCTGAGGGGGAGCACACGTGTGTAGGAAAACTCAGGGCCTTACTTGCTGACTGCTGGGTCTCTGCCATGTGCAGAGGGCTTTATAGCCATCACCTCATTTAAACCTCACAGACAGCCCACCAAGACAGGTGAAGGAAATGGACAGAAACAGAGAAGTAATTTGCCCAAGGTTTGCACAGCTAGTAGGTTAGTGGGAGAATCTAGATTCAAATTTAGGTCGGACTCAAGAGTCCATAAGCCCTCAGCCACTTCACTGGGACCTCTCTCAGTTGAGAAATGTGTGGTGAACTTGAATTTGAATCGAGAAAGCGTTATGGGCTGTTTGACTATTTCCCTAAAGGGAACTGCGCAGATCCCCTGGACAAACTCCAGGCATTTGACAGGCTTATTTTGACAATGCCTGACAAAGATATTTGGTCCCAGTACATAGTTTTCACTATGGATCTTCACTGTGGGTTTTGCCTTAAATTTTTGTTTTTCCTACAAATTTATTAATAAACCATATCAAAAGGAAATTCATGACATATTTAAATGCTAAGAGACCAGGGGACAAACTTAGCACTGGAAATAGTTACCTGATTTCACTAGACATTACAGGAAAATTACTGATTTATAGGTCACTGTTTTTTTTCTACTAGAAGTTTTTGACTAAATTAGGTTACAGCCTGCAGGCCCTTCACCTGTCTCTCACATAAATAAAATTTCCCAAGAGTGCCCTCTCAGCCCTACTCACTGCATGGCTGACACAAAGACATTTCAGCTAGTATAAACTGCCTTTTTGTTTGTTTGTTTATTTCAGGAGAAACTCCGTTCCCTCAAATGGGTGTGGGAGTGATATGAAGATTTGCTCAAAGCCGAAGGTGAGTGATAAAACATAATAGTCTCTAAAAGGATCTTTCTGTGACTCTAGAATTCTTTGATTATAGGATATGTAATAGAAATTAATGAGACATGTTTCATATAAATGAGCAAATCTAGGATTAGAAGTATGTCATAATTTAAAGACAACCCCAAATTTATTTTTAGGCTGCATGAATCCTTCAGGGTCCTTGATTCACAAAACAAAAACAAAACACATTCTAGTTTAAGGGAAAAATAATTTTTTTATTAAAGGTTTTAAGTAGTTCTCAGAATCCTGGTGAGGGCCAGAGAATCAACTATGGATGCTCTGAGACCAGGAGCTACATGCAGCTTACATAGGAGGATGGTCCTAGGGGATACCTCACTGTCCCTAGGCCTAGGCAGCTCATCTCTTGCCCCCAGTGGTGGACCCTAGAGGCTACTGCCAGGACCTCTGGTCATGGTCTCTTGAAGGTGCTGCTTCTCCCTCCACCTGCCATGATGGATTGCGTGAGGTACCTTGCTCACTTCCACATGGAGTTCTCAGTCAAGTGGGTCTGACTGACAGAACCTGGACCCTATATTTGGACATTCTCCAAATATAACATAAGCCCAAAGATAATGAGTAGCCAAAAAACATGACAAATGCCCACTTCAGTAAAGCAGTATAACCTCAGCTTCCCCTTGGTGCCTGGAGACACTGAGTCATGCCTTTCCAGGGTAGTTAATGCCCCACAGGCCCCACTGTTGACCAATGGCAAGTGAGGATTGGGAAAGAGCTGACAGATAAATTCCTTTCCCTTCCCTTCTCCTGATGGGCTGCCTTGAGATGCAATAGCTTATCTGGTCTTACTGAACACATCGCATGAGATGGAGCATTAGCTATACTCGTTACCAACAACAGGCTGACTGAAGCCTCCCTCACGTTGCCTCTGCCTCACTCCTTTTCCCCTCACTCTTGTTTCCCTGAGATTATACCTCCCTAGAAAGTGGCAGCTCATCAGCTTTTCCCTTAGGCTCTGGTTTCTCGCAACCCAGGCTACAAGAGCATCTCTTGCAGTTGCAGTGTATTCTCACTAGAGTCTTTGCCTGGTCTCTAAGACCAGCTTCAATTATTTTCTCTAGAAAACTAGTATTAGTAGCTCGTGCTGATTTGAAAACCTGCGTTTGCCATATCTGTCACTCATGTTGCAAACTTTTCTACTGTCTCTATTTTTTCCTCATGCACAAACAAAAAAGAAAGAAGGAAAGGCAGAAAAATTCACCGGGAGGTTGGGTTGTGAGAGTGGGAGTGGAGGAATTAACTTGTCATTGAGAGTCTCCTAGCTTCTAGTTAACTCTCTTCTAATTCCCTAAACAAGCCATAGTGTCTCATTTCTCTGCGCTCTCCCTCAGGTTATTTTCTCTTCTAAAAAGCTATTTGGGGCTTCCTGGTGGCGCAGTGGTTAAGAATCCGCCTGCCAATGCAGGGGACATGGATTCGAGCCCTGGTCCGGGAAGATCCCACATGCCGTGGAGCAACTAAGCCCCTGCGCCACAACTACTGAGCCCGAGCTCTAGAGCTCACGTGCCACAACTACTGAGCCCATGTGCCTAGAGCCCGTGCTCTGCAACGAAGAGTAATAATCCCCGCTCACTGCAGCTAGAGAAAGCCTGCGTGCAGCAATGAAGACCCAACGCAGCCAAAAATAAATAAATAAAATAAATTTATTAAAAAAAAAACTGTTTGCCTTTTCTTTATTTTTACAGTTAAATGTTTCTTGTCCTTGAAGACTAATCTTGGGTGTCTCCTCTTTAAGGAAACTGTCTTGACCCCCGACCCAAATCTAATTTACACTGAGCTGTGTATTCCTATGGTACCCTGTATATCGCATTTATGTGGGCCATGCTGGACTTCAGCTATTGGTCTTCCCTAAAAGCCTGTCTTTCCTAAAAGATAGTAAGCTTCTTGGGGACAAGGACCATGTCTCATTTGGCTTTGCAGCCCTGGCTTAAATCAGTATAACTGGCACATAATGATTACTCAATTTAAAAATAGCTGTTGAATATGTGATTAATATATGTGGAATAACTGGTTGAATAATTCCATTCAGGATCCCTGTGCCATGTTGTGGCAGTGCCTGGAAAAATCCCCCATCTAAGCCCTTGGCTGGGTGGAAGAGTTGTTTCACCCTTGCACCCACCTAAGAGATAGTCAATAATTGCACTGCACTGTTCTACTTGACAAATTCCAGTAATTTCTCCAGGAAAGAAGAAAACCCTATGAAAGGATTTAGTGTTGTATTTTTTCTTGGTTCCTAAGTGAGTGAGTGAGGGTGATAAGAAACAAAATTTCTACTAAAAAAAATAAGTGAAGTGTAATTTCACCTAGAACTTGCCTCATAGGTAACCAGTGTTTTTGTCATCCGCATACCACTTGGCCAGTGGACAAAAATAGCTGTTAAAAAAGACATTTATTTGTTCCCGTGTTTGGCAGCCCTGTCTAAACTTAATCCTCATTTCATATGTGTGTCCAAATGTGTTCTAATTTTTTGTGTAGAAGATATCTACTCACTCATTTATTCATGGATCCATTTAACAAATGTTTATTGATGCCTGCAATGGGCTTGTGTTGGGCTAAGGATGCAACAGTGAGCAGAACAAAGCTCATTCCTCATGGAACTTGCATTCTAATAGGGGAGGTGTACAAACATTGTAATCCATATTCAGTAATTCTTTCTTTAAATACATTTTAAACATTATTTATTTACAAATAAATAAGTAAATATAAATTTATTTATATTTATTAAGCACTACTGATGAGTAGATGGTAAATATATGGGTGCCCCATGGAGGCTACTCTCTGGATCAAATCAAATGCTGACAACTGTTAATGAAGGAAGGGATCCAAATTTCGGTAGGGGTGGAGGTGGCCGAAGAAGGCTTCCTTGGGAACTGACATTCAAACCGTGTGCAGAAGGATCATGACTAATAAGATAAAGGGAGGGTTAGAGGTTCACTCTAGATTGCACTGCTAACATAGGCAAAGGGATACTTGGCACATTTGGGGATCTGAATGAGGCCCAGGGTAGCTGGAGAACCAGGAGAGAAAGAGTGGGAAACAAGAACGGTGGTCAGGGCCAGATCACACAGGGTTTGTAGATCATTTAAGGAGTCTCGTCACACACACCCGGGGATAATAGATTATCGAAGACTGAATGAGACTGTTGGTAAAAATGAGTTTGTGAACTTCAGAGTTACTAGTATCTATTCTTTTGGCTTACATTCTAGTATGAGTAGTTGAGTTTTTTAACTGTTTACATCATGTAGAAATTAGTATTAAAAGCTGTTCTAACAATTTTCACTAAAAAGAACTCTTATATTTAGTATAAAATTTGGGAAACTCAATCTATTTAAAAGACTTGAATGTCAGTTGACTATATTTGAGAATCTGAATATGAGAGTAAATGTTTTTACTTTTCTGTCTGGGTTTTAACTGGTATGTGCCTTCATATCCCTACTGCTGGTATATCCTAGCAAGAACATTCTAATTTTTATGCATAAAAGATGAAAATATTATTCTTTCGCAAAGAATCAAATATAGACTCCCCACTGTTGTTTATTGTTTCTCAGGTGACATCTGGTGGATAAAAACTGAAATGCAGAGTTCTCTGTAGTTTAGGAAAGGTGAGGTTCTCAAATGTCTTTGGGAGGAAATCATTAAAGAATATGAGCTGAATTGGTTGAAGATTAATTTTGCTTACACTTTTGGCATTATATTTTCTGCATTAAGTAGGCATTATGGTATCAGATATAATGGAGAGAACACTCCAGTGCTCTGCTGGATTTGGCAGGCTTTGAGTTCTGCTCAAACCTCTGACAGTAAATAACAAAGTGATTTGCTATTGTTTTTGCTTTTTTAAAGAGCTTCAAAATTAAAGCAAGAGATTAGCTACAGATGGAAAAGAATCAGATTGCTATTGGACTTCTCAGTGGCTATACTGGATAAAAGAGACAAGAGAACAATATCTTCAACATTCTGAGGGAAAATTTCTTTCTATCTAGAGTCCACTACCAAATCAGGCTCTCCTTCAGGTATGAGCAAAATAAAAGCATTTTCAGACATGCATGGGTATGAAAGTTATCCTTTTGTGTAAGTCCTCTCTGAAAGAGTTACTAATTTAAAATGTTGTCTTTGTTAAGTGCTATGTTTCAGTTTATTTTTAGATATTTTCTTTTTTGCTGTTGCAATTTTGGTCTTTATTTCCATTATGTTTTCTTTTTTAACTTTGAGATGTAATTGACATATCCATGATGTTTTCTAACTGGTTGTTTGTATAGATGAAAGCAATTAAATTTTGCACACTAATTTGATACCCATCCATTTCATAAGTCCTCATACTGTTTGCAACAGATTTTTAATTGAGTTTATTGGGTTTTCCAGGTATACAATTATCTATAAATAGTAATAAATGTACCTCTCTTCCAATGTTTATACCTCTTATATCTTTCTCTTGTCCTATTGCATTGGTTAAACCTCTAGAGTTATGCTAAATAATAGTGGTGACTGTAGACATAATTGTATTGCTGTTGATTTTAATGGGAATACTTCTAATGTTTCCTCATTAAACATAATGCTGGCTTTTAAGAAATATGGATCTTTCCTATTTTATGAAGATTTTAAAAAATTAATTATGGATACTGAAATTTATCAAATGCCTTTCCCGCATATTTGAAGAAAATTGTACATTTTTTCTTTCTTTTAATCTGTTTTATCATTCAGAGTTCACTTGCAGAAAACAGAAAGGGATTTAATACACGGAGTGAGCTGCTTATAAATCAGTGGAGAGCTAGAGGTTCAAGCTCTCTAGAAATAACTCCCAAATCCACACTGTAGAACTGGCCCACCAAGAGAGCTGCTCCCTCTGCCACAGTAGAAAGTCATGTTCCCACCGTTAGCTCCAGGAACACACCATCTTAATGTGATCTGGGAACGAGAAGTTGCCACCAGAATTCTTAGCTGCCAGAACACACCTTCTTATCTGTCACCTCTGAATCAGAAAACTAATGCTAGAACTGTCAGCTGCAGAGTTTTACTATGTCTGCTATAATATGTCCCAGCAAAATGTGTGCCTTGCTGCTATGTCTTCCCCTATTTAAATGAGTTCTGAAATCGAATTTCACACAAGTGTATCTGATTAGCAAAACATAATTTACATTGAGGAACCTAGCTGCAAGGGAGCCTGGGAAATGAGGGTTCTGAGCTTTCCAGCCTCTGCAGTATACATGGCACACTAAAAAGAGGCTGAAATAGATGCTGAGTGAGCCAACCAACTGTACCCAACCACTTCCTAACATAGGAAATGAAACTGAATCATTCTTACGATACTGGGAGTGGGGGGAACTAGTTTTCTTTTAATTCTTCTAAGATGTTGCTGGATTCAGTTTGCTGAAACTTGGTAAACATTTTCTGCATCAATATTTATAACTGATTTTTGTCAGTAGCTTGCTTTTCGTGTTATTGCTGTCAGTTTTTGGTAACAAACGTATGCTACTGTTATTAGAATTCGGAAGTTTTCCTCTTTTTGTCTCTGCTCTGGAACAGTTTAAAAAGCATTAGAGTCTGTTTATTTTGTAAAATTTCCTAAAATCAGCCTATGAAGCCCTCAGGGCCTGGTGCTCTTTGGGAGCCTACCATTTTAACAATTTTTTCCTTTTTCTTAGGTTTTTAATATTTAATGTTTAGATTTTTAATTTGCCAACTTTAGTAAATGGTGTTTTCTTAGAAAAATGATTCATTTCATCTGGATCTTCACATTTATTTGCAGATAATCGAAAAAAATAGTCTCCTGTGATTCTTTTCTTTGTATTTTTATTATGTATATTTGTGCTTTCTTAATTTTAATTCTTGATCAGTTTAGCTAGTGGTTAATCTGTCTTAACTGGTTAAATTTATTCATTAGGATTATCATTCCTCTGGTTTTTATTTTATTATTTTTTTCTTTCACATTTCTTAATTCATTTCTCCTTTTTTCCGTTTTTGATTATTGATTATTTTTTCCCCTGTCTTCTTCAGCTAGGTGGTTAGTTCATTTATTTTTATTCTTTCTTATTTATTAAGGTAACTACTGAAACTGCTAATTTTCTGCTGAGGATGGCTTTAGCTGTATTACTTCGATATTGGTTTGTAATATTACCAATGTTTTCTAATTAAATTGCAACTTTAGTTTTGATATCCTCTTTGACTCAGGATTTTAAAAATTTTATGTGATAGGGTCTTTCTGTCTTCTCAGTTGATTTCTTTCGTGACCAGAAAATTATATCTGCATTATTTCTGCTTTTTGACATTTATTGAGGTTTTTGTGGCCTAAATATATGGTCATCTTTGTGAATATTCCATGAGTGTTATAAAATATAGTCCCTATTTTCAGTGAATAGAGTTCAGGATATGTCAAGTAGAATTACCTTATAAATCTGTTATCTAGTCTACTCTTTATTGAAAGCCCCTTGTCTGTGACCTTCTCCAGGTAGTCTCCCTGTGGCTTGGCAGCCTTAAAGAAGGAGAGCAATTCTGATATAGGTGTCTGACAGCTACAGTCCCAAGCTCTGCCAAGAAAGTGAACATCCCTGCCTCCCCAGCTAAGAACTAGTCCTTGCAGAAATATTGATAGGCAGGGGAAAGAAATCTGCAAGAACTAGTCATTATGTCTTATTCATTTACACTGACCAATAGCCAGGTCAGGCACACACTTGGCTTTACATATTTGTACAAAACCAAAACCCTTCCTTTTTTCTTTCTTTCTTTCTCTTTTGATTCCACTGAGGTTTCCACCAAGTACTTCCTGCAGACAGTTGTGTAACACCCTCTGAGCAGTCTTTCAGTGCTGCCTACTTCCATGCCCAAGTCAGAATGGCACTTCCTTGTATTTCCCTGTCCTTGGAAACCTGGTTTGGTGTCTACAGTCTTTCCCTGATAATGGCCTAACGCTTGTTGATTTTCCTTCCAACATGAGCAAGCCATACAGTGTCTCTGTGCTCCAGATTATGCCCATCACTAGACATTTACTGGTGTTATAAGCACCAGCTAGTGTTAAAATGTTAAGTTTATCTCAGTCTATGTGTAACAAAAATTCAAAAAGCACTGGTTTTAAAAATAGTTCTTTTTCTCACATAAAAGGAAGCCTGGAGGCAGCCGGTACAGCTGCTCAAATTAATACATGATAATTGTAAAAAATCTCAAACATTACAGAAGTCCCAACCGTTCAGTAATATTTTCTTTATCATTTTCATGATGTACAATTCCTTAACTTCCACATTTATATACAGAGATCTGTTTTTGATTTAAAATTCTCAAGCAAGAGTTTAAATACTTAATTGAAAAGTTATTTTGTTCCTGTGAGCTAGGAGTTCCTGAAAATTTTCCCATAAATCCAAGGGAATATATAGATGATATATGAGTTTAATTTTCTATCTAACTGTAGAAGAATGACCCTGTGATAACTTCTGAAATTAATTTTTTAACGATAGGTTCATGTTCATCAAATGGGTTTGAATTTTCAGGGAAAAGTGCTCTATTGGGACTAAGTGGTATAGTCATAAAACTGTCAACCATACTGAAGATTTTTCATTTCCCTGAGTCTGATCTGAAGGATGTAAACCTGGGACTACCTCCAAAAGAATAATCAACATCCATTCAAACACAAGTGATTATCTTCTTTATTTTCTACTGGCCTCCAGGAAAAAAATTATTTTTCAAAAGAAGAAAAATAGACTTGGAGGTTTTTTTGCTTTAGGAAAATAAGTTTTAACTATTAAGTCAGATCCAGGCTTGATGCTTGGCTCTGCCATATTCTAGCTGTATTATCTTAGAAAGTTTATTGACTAAGATTCTCAAACTTTATTTATTTACAGCAAAGAGTAGCTGTGTGTGTTGTTAAGAGTGTTTGGCACATGATAGGCCATCAAAAGTAAGGATTATTATTTTTAAAGTAAATATTCACATTTTTTCCTTTTATCTAGACCTACCTTTAAATTGTCTTAACAGCTACATTTGGTGTAAAGATTCACTGTTGTTGCTTTGGCTGTTGTTGTTGTTATTGTTCAACAATAAGTATTTTTGCCCCATCAGGGAACTGACAATCTGTTGGAGAGTGTCTGATTAGGGAACTCCGATATTACCGAGGAACAATAAAAAAAGAGCTGAAAGACTGGGAAGTCTTTACACAACTTTCTCTTTTCAGTTTCTATAAATATAGTTAAGTTTAAACAATTGAACATTTTGTATGGGGATAGTCATTTAAAGGTCAGTGGAAGTTCAACTGTTTTTATTTGAGAATAAAAATTGTGGAGGAAGTTATCACCCCTTACATAAGTAATATTGATTAGCTTTTTTGTTTTCCATTAGGGATATCAAGAGGTATCCTTTTTTTTTTTTTTTAACATCTTTATTGGAGTATAATTGCTTTACAATGGTGTGTTAGTTTCTGCTTTATAACAAAGTGAATGAGCTATACGTATACATATATCCCCATATCTCTTCCCTCTTGCATCTCCCTCCCTCCCACCCTCCCTATCCCACCCCTCTAGGTGGTCACAAAGCACCAAGCTGATCTCCTTGTGCTATGCGGCTGCTTCCCACTAGCTATTGATTTTATAGTTGGTAGTGTATATATGTCCATGCCACTCTCTCACTTTGTCCCAGCTTACCCTTCCCCCCCGTCCATGTCCTCAAGTCCATTCTCTAGTAGGTCTGCGTCTTTATTCCCATCCTGCCCCTAGGTTCTTCATAACCATTTTTTTTTTAGATTCCATATATATGTGTTAGCATACGGTATTTGCTTTTCTCTTTCTGACTTACTTCACTCTGTATGACAGACTCTAGGTCCATCTACCTCATTACAAATAACTCAGTTTCGTTTCTTTTTATGGCTGAGTAATATTCCATTGTATATATATGCCACATCTTCTTTATCCATTCATCTGTCGATGGACACTTAGGTTGTTTCC